CAGTTCCCCCAAAGATTAACTTGTAGCGACTTGGTGGGAATGGATTAGTTTTCAGCTATTCGTGTTTTCCCCCCCCCCAAAAAAAAAAACCGTCCTCCGCGATCAATCCGAGAAATGGCCTCACGAAGGCAATATTTAGCACGCGAATAAACGAAGCTCCGGTTTCAGTTTGCCTTCTTTTTTCCCCTAAACCTATCGAAGCAGGTGAGTGGGAGAGAGGGACCCGAGAGCCCCTCCCGCCCCCGGTTGCCGCCGCCCGCGGCCAGGCAGGGCCCCAATCCAGGGTGGGGGGTGGGGGGCGGGATCGACTTGGCCGAAGCCGAGAGCGCGCGTGCGTGTGCGCGCCCGGGCGAGCGCCCTGTGCCTTTGGGGTGGTGGCGGTGGCGGCGTGCGCTCTCGCTCTGGCTCCCCCTCGACTTCTCTCTCTCTCTCTCCCGCAGCCGGCTCGGCGAGGAGGAGGCGGCGGCGGCGGCGCGATTGGCTGCCGCTCCGGCAGCGCTGGGACTCTTCGCACACCCGCCGCACAAAACTCAGCCCAGGGCTGCGCCTGCCCCACTCCAGGCAGGAGCAGCCAGGCGAGGAACCTGCCGGAGCCGCCGCGCCCGCCCCGGACAGCCTCGGCGCGACCCTCGCCAGTCCCCGGCTCCTGCGGGCCAGCCCTCCCCTCCCTCCCTCCCTCCCTCCCGCGGCCGGCGCCCACCTGCTGCCCGTCCCGTCCGGTCCCGGGCGTGGCTGGCCGGCCGCTCCCTGCTCCCCACGGCGGCGGGCGGGATGGCCGGCTCTCCCCGCGCCCTGCTGCTCCTGCTGCCGCTGCTGTGCCTCTGCTGCCTGGGCTGGAGCCTGCTGGCGCCCGGGCAGGCGCGGCGGGAGCGCTCGGCCGGCTCCGGGAGAAGCAGCAGCAGCGGCGGAGGCGGCAGGAGCCCGGCGGAGGCGGCAGGGGGGACAGGTGAGCCGAGGCTCTCGGCCGTTGCCGCCGCCGACATGGTCTCGGAGCACATGCTGCGCCTCTACGACCGCTACCGCGGGCGGCCCGACGACTCGGCGCCTGGCGCTCCGCAGGCGCTCCACCTCCGCGAGGGCAACACGGTGCGCAGCTTCCGAGCGCTGCCGGCAGGTGAGGCGAGGCGAGGGCTCCGCCGGTGGGGCGTGGGTGGGAGGCGCGCTGGCCGTGCGGGTCGGGACGGACGCGAAGCGTGGCACAGCCGGCGCGGTTGGCACAGACCTCTGGCGCTTGGCGCCGCCGAACAGGCTGGACGCGCGCATCAAGGCGGCCCAGGTGCGCAGCTCGGGGGGGGGGGGGGGGGGGGGGGGAGCCAAAAGGTGCAAGTTGAACGGGACACCGGGTGCTGACCAGTGTTTCCTCTAAGCTGAGTTAGTGTGAGCTAGCTCACAGTTTTTTAGCCTCCGGCTCACATATTTTTGTCTTCCCTCGGGAAGGATGGTTCCAGAGCAAACTGATTTATGCAGCAGCCAAATCGCTCGCTCACAACTTTAATGCCAGTCGCTCACAAAGTAGAATTTTTGCTCACAAGACTCCACAGCTTAGAGGGAACATTGGTCGCAGCCCAAAGATAGATGTGTGTGTGTGTTGTGTGTGCAAAGTGTTGCCACGTTTCGGCCAGAGCAAACTGATTTATGCAGTGGCCAAATCGCTCACTCACAACTTTAATGCCAGTCGCTCACAAAGTAGAATTTTTGCTCACAAGACTCCACAGCTTAGGTGGGAGCATTGGTGCTGACCGCTCCGGGAGGGCCAATGTTGCCTTGTTTGCCCGGGGTTCTCCTTCAAGCGCTCCTGGCAGAAACATCCAGGACAACCCTATTCCTAATCACCCCATTGATTCCACGGGGTTGAGATGGGAGTAGCTCCCAGCAGGGTAGACTCAGGTGGGCAGCCGCCTTGGTCTGAAGCCAGAGAACAGAGTCGGAGTTGAAGACCAGTCAAGTTTCATTCTGGGCATAAGGCTTTCCTGTGCCAGCACTGGCCTCAAACTTTGTCCTGGTAGGATAGTTCTGTTTATATGCAGCAGAAATAGTTCGATTCAGTCCACTGGTTAGAGAGCAGCAAGATTTATAAGCTTTGGGGCAGGATTGCACTGTTGGGTGCCTGTTCCTTTGACAGATATTAAGGACCCTCCCTTCCCTTTGCATTAAAAAAAAAGCACCCTTGTTCCAGGGAATGTAGAAATCCCCCCCTCTTGTGTGCGCGTTCGTGTTTGTGTGTGTGTTGGCATGCCTTGTTTGTGGTGAAGCCGCTGCTTGTAGTTCCCGTCGCAAGAGAGAGGAGATGTTTTCCAAGATGTTGTGGCCCAGCGCAGGCTGCCTGGGCTTTTGGGAGCAGAAGGAGCCCTGTGTGTTGATGTGTGTGTGTCCCGATTGAGAGAGTGGCCCAGAGCAAAGAGGCTCCCTCGGAAAACCGGCGCGGGTCACCTGAGGTTTCCTTCTCGTCAGAGATCTTCCAAGCGGCCTGGAATTTTATTGGTTTTATTGTAGTTTAACTTGTGTAAGCCGCCTTGAGCCAGTTTGCACCGGCAAGGCGGGATACAAATTGAAGGTAAATAAATATGTCCCGCTGAAAACCTCCGGGCTGACTGTTTTTTTTTGAAACGCAGCCCAGGCTGGATTACTTTCCGGCATGCCTCTTCATTCAAAGCCGATCATCTTTAATTTTAAAGCGCTGCTCCTCACTGGCATCTTTAAGGCATTTGATGTTTCTCTCCTCCCCCCCCCCTTTTAAAATGGGTTGGGGAGAGAAAGTATTACTCACCAGGAGTTGCTCCACCGCTAACAGAGCGCCCTTTTTTTCTGAGAGCCCTTTTTGTAGGTGAAGGCCAAATCACACATGATAAGGTCCAATGCAGGAGAAAAGTGTATTGAGGACTCAGGAAATTGTGGTGGGGGGGATCCTCCTGCACCAGTCCCCTCGGATGGGGATTTGGCGAATGATTGGACAGCCAGGGGGAGACCACAACCTGCACTTGCTCCCCCCCCCTTTTCCCGACAGGCTCAAACCTCAGAAAGTCTATTCCTTGCCGCATACCTGAAACCCACAATGTAAATATACGGGGAAATGCTGCTAACACCAATGACGACAGGTGGTTGACATAATTTGAATGGTGTCCCAGTCCTACCTGGAGTGGTCATCGGCGCCAGTGTTCCCTCTAAACTGAGTTTGTGTGAGCCAGCTCACAGTTTTTTAGCCTTCAGCTCACACATTTTTGCCTTAGCTCAGGAAGGATGTCTCCAGAGCAAACTGACTTATGCAGCAGCCAAATCGCTCGCCCACAACTTTCATGCCAGCAGCTCAGAAAGTAGAATTTTTGCTCACAAGACTCCACAGCTTAGAGGGAGCATTGGTCGCAGCCCAAAGACAGATGTGTGTGCAAAGTGTTGCCACGTTTCGGCCAACTTACAGCCAACCTTCACGGGACAATTGGTGGAACCAAGTTGGAGTCCGGCGGCACCTTTAAGACCAACAAAGTTTTATTCAAGGTGTGAGCTTTTGTGTGCATGCACACTTTGTCAGACAGATCATCGTTGTATATAGAGAGGGTGGCTTGTTCGATTAGCATGCGAAAGAGCGAAGATGTTTTTTAACAGATAAAAAGAATGACAGGCTTGGTTTCTGGTTATCATCTCTTTGGGTTCAGCTGTGTGAGTGTGTGTGGGGGACAACATAGGTAATAAATATGTCAGAGCTGGAGATTGATGTACCCTGAGTTGGTGGTTTGCCATCGCCTTACTTGCCCTGCAGTCCCGCTGGCACCATGCTTTGTATCCACGATCTGAG